GCTTCTAGTAGTTAAACAACCAAACCTGTTGCCATCGAGTCGATTTCAACTCATGCAGACCCCATGTGTTACAGAGTAGAACTGCTCCATAGGGCTTTCTTGGCTGTAATCTTTAGGGAAGCAGATCACCAAGCCTTTCTTCTGTGGTGCTGCTATGCGTCAGTTCTACTCTGATGTATAGGGTCGCTATGAGTTGGAATCGCCTAGACAGCAATGGGTCAGGTCTTTTTTGGGGTTCATAACAAGGTGATTGTTCACTGACACAAAAATCCTAGCATCCCCAGGAATAGCACAACATCTTCCAAAGAGCAGATGTTCAATTAATGTTAAGGGATTACTGAGTCAATGAGGATGGTATCTTATTTATTTAGATTTAGATTTTATTTCTCCTATATTCTAAATCAGAGCCTTGGTGGTGTAGTGGTTAAGAGCTCAGCTGCTAATCACAAGGTCGGCAGTTCAAATCTACCAGTCGCTCATTGGAAACCCTAGAGGGCAGTTCTACTCTGTCCTATAAAGTCGTTATGAGTCTGAATCGCCTCAATGACAATGAATTTCGTTTATATATATATTATAAATAACCTAATCAAATCTAGGTTGTCATCACTCTTCTCTTGTTTCTTGGTGGTATGCGGTCCCCTGTTCAAATAGTAACCAGGCCAGGCCCTGCTTAGCTTCCAAGATCAGAGGAGATCTGGCACGTTCAGGGTCAGGCTTGGATAGTATTTGGATGGGGGACCTCATATCACCAAGAAACAAGTGCCAGGAGAATAGCACACCCTTTGGACCCAGAGTTCCTGTGCTGAGAAGCTCCTCGATCGGGAAAGATTGATGACAAGGACCTTCTTCCAGAGTTAACAGAGAGAGAAAGCCTTTCCCTGAGCTGCCACCCTGAATTCGGACTACTAGCCTACTGGACTGTGAGAGAATAAATTTCTCTGTGATAAAGCCGTCCACTAGTGGTATTTCTGTTATAGCAGCACTAGATAACCAAGACAGAATATGTTAGTGGAACAGAGGGGTGCTGCTCTAAGAACTACCTAAACTGTGGAAGCAGTTTGGAAACTGTGAATGGAAAGAGGCTATAAGGGTTTTAAAGTGACTAGTAGTAAAAGCCTAGATTGCCTTGAAGAGACCGTTGGTGGAATTATGGACATCAAAGACAGTTCTGGTGAGGTTTCAGGAGGTGCGGGGCGCTGTTACACTGGAAATGGCTCAGATGGCAAGAAGAAGCAGCAGAATGAGGAGACTAGCGCCACAGGGCGCTGGAGCCAACCCAGGGAGCAAGAGAGCTGAATGCCTTGGCGCAGGAGGCTTCATGGAGGAGGGGGGTGCCTCCAGGCAATTATCCGGTAAAGCCAGGCTTGCCAAGCCACAGAGCAAGAGAGCTGAGTGCCTTCTGGCCACAGTTTAGTGGTGGAGTATGGTGCCTCCGGGTACTTATCCATGAAGCTACAGAGCTTTGGAACACTTGCCAGAGCCAGGAGCAGAGGGAGCAAAAGCCCAGGAACCTCGTCAGAATGTCCATTTATATTCTATGAAGACCACACGCCCAAGGAAACTCCCTTTCAACTGATTGGCTACTCACAGCAAATCCCATCGTGGAGGCGATCACATTATATCAGATCTCATCACGGAAGTGATCAGAACATCATACAACTGCCAAACCACTGGGAGTCACGGCCCAGCCAAGTTGACACACAATCTCAACCATCCAGTATGTATCATTTTATTTTACAGAACAGCAGATTAACAATAATAGTAAGACAAGAAATGGTCCTCTTTTACTTTATTTGGCTCTACTTCTTGATCCGAACAATTGTACTGCTGAGTTATCTCCTATTTCCCACAGAAATACCTAATCCAATGCCATGTTATTCTGCTCCAGATCACAAAATAAGATGAAAAGTTTCACAATTTGGTTCACAAAATACAAAAACTCCTACTTTTAAACCTGATATATAGGAATAAATGAGTAACCAAAGTGATTTAAAAACTTATACAGTGTTCAGAAGCTATCTGAAGCATCTAGTAAAAGGAACAACATTTGAAAACTAACCACAGAAAAGGAGGAAAGAAGAAAAGAAAGAAATCTCCAAGTTACCACACTAACAGGAAGACAAAGATGATATACGTCCACGGTGAATGAAGTGACGACCAGGGAGTTAGATGCTCTAAGTCAGGGGGAGGGCAGGTGATTCTGGGCTGTCTGTTCCACTGGGTGCAGGAGCAGCATCCAGAGGAGAAGGCAGTGAAGAGCTGGTTAGATTCCTGAGGTGGGCTGGAGGGCTCAGTGAGGCAGGCCCGGGGAAGGGTGCTATAATGTGGAATAGAGTGGAGCTGGACAAATATACCAGCCCCTGGGAAGAAGCAGCTCTCAAGGAACCCTGGGGCTAGGTGTAGCAGGACCCTAGGCAAATGAACCTACAGATAATCCTGCAATTTTTATTTATTCTTAGATTCACATTGCTGCTTTTGGCCTGCTTTTATATTTTCACTACCAAAATAAAAAATGGCTGCCACTGAGTCGATTCCAACTTATGGCAACCCCGTGTGTTGCAGAGTAGAACTGAGACCCATGGGGTTCTCAAGGCTGTGACCTTTTGAAAGCAGATCACCAGGCCTTTCTTCCTAGACGTCTCTGACTGGGTTCAAACTGCCGGCCTCCATTTCGTAGCAGAGCGCTTAAACATTAGCACCACCCAGGGACTCAACTTTGATTACAGAGTCCTTTTATTTGCCTGA